TTGCCACGGCCCGCGTACAAGGTCGAACAGGGATGAGGGCAAGAGAATGAAACATAAAAGTATGGGAACAGGAGGGTTGCCCACGGGGGTGCCGCGAGCAACAACTTTATTCTTTCTCACACACTTTATATAGGCTTAGGTTATATAACAATAGGACATAAACAAGTTCCACAGGTTCCTCCCTGCCCTTCTCCTGGCTCCGTCCCGAGTTTCTGGTTCAAGGCCAGATTCCTCAAGCTCATAGTTTCTTCCCTGTTTTGTTTACGCGGTATGCCTTTAAAGGGCCAGGTGCGCTATCTTTCAGGGTCTATTAATAACACTGTGGTTTTCTTGGCCTATATACAACTCAGGCTAGCCAGTACAACATGTTTTTATATGGGGGCAGTCAGGTGGCCATGGTTCAAAGGGATCAGGGAGCCTTTGCTCTACCTGATTAACCCCCTTGTTGCTCATGGCTCCCGACATTTCCCCCTTTTATCTTTAAACGCAACATGTGTACATTTGCTTGGGTACTAGCCATGAAAGCAAACAGACAGCGACTCCAAGCACACCATAAGCAGAGTAATAAGATTACCCCTACAACCAGAGCACACATAATCCAAAAGAAATGTTGGACGATATTAAAGGGGTTAAACCCCTGTAGCTTTTGTAGAAAGGATTGTGCCATGTCTCCGGGGGTGACTACATGCAGATGGGAGGAGGCTATATTGTTTATTTGTTCTTGCAATTGAAGCAGATCTAGGCTTACATTTGTCTCATGCCAGATACCTTGCAAGTGACTCTGCATCGTTTCCCAGGAGACACTGTCAGCCTTCAAGGGGGTTACACAAATGGAACCATACCCGCCGTGGCATACAAAGGACAGACGAGTGTGTAACAGTGAATATTGGGTGCCCAGGTACTCGACGGCCTGTTCTAGACCATCTAGGCGAGCCAAAATTTTTCTATCTATACTTCCTTGTGTAGCGAGGGTCTGGGAGACATTATGGGCTAAGCTATTTACATGGGAGGCCGTATGTATGCCCTGGGACAGCGCCACCGTGGAAACAGTAGCCGAGGCTATCAGGGACACCAAGGCAGTGATGCCGGCTATCAGGAGGCCCAGGAAGCATCGTCTCCGACTAAGTAGGCCTTCCAGTTCTTGTGCAAATTGGTAGCCATAATCTCTATACCAGGGCCCCCCCACCTCTACAGGCATCATTAGATAAGGGGGCTGCATGGCTAGAAAAACCATCTTTGTTGGATTTGGGGCACCGGGTAAAGGCAAACAGTTGGTGAGATAACATTCCTCACAAGTTATTTTGTAAAGGGTTCTATTGGCCCTAATCTCGGGCACCACGGACCCGTCCCCCACCACAAACAGAAACGGTGGGGAAAGACATGCCCGAATTTGAAAGGTCAATGGGCCCGTGGGGAAACCAGGGAAAAGAGATGAATTAGCTTTAACATCTCTCATGGCCGCAACAATTTTTCATAAGTCCGGTGTCTCATCCTCCCCAGTGATAGCAGTCCCCCGGGAGCAGAATTATTGTGGTCGTATGGCCCATATTCTGAAAGCGGGGGGGAGCGGCGCAAAGGGAGATCCCCGTCTTTTGACCAGTCAATTATATAAGTATCAGGTATGCCATGGGGAGTCACAATCTCTGGGTTGTGATGAACGCAGGTTTTCCAAGAGGGTCCATAGGTTTTCCACGTTAAGTCAGATTTGCAGAGGGGATAGTCAAGGTATGGGGTCTCAAGGGATCTGGAAGCGGGTCCGAAACGGCCAACAGGCAGGGGCCGTCGATGTTGAAGGACAACCTCGTTGATGTCCCAATCCTCCACCATTACATGAGGTGTCAAAGTGTCTCCTCTGGGTGGCTCAGTTCCAAACCAATAGCGGATTCTTCGGGAGACTGGTGAAGTGACCACGCATCCATAATGGGGCGCCTCAGGGCCATCGATGGCCTGGAAACAAATGGGGGGGGCAGAAGCCAGGCTGGTCCAGTTAAAAGGCGCCACGGCATGAGTGAGGCCGGAAATCTCAGGCCCATCAAAAATGTCTGTGAAGTTAGTAAACACCTTGGGTGAGGGATCCTTCCAGGTGACCGCCCTCGCGGTAGGAGGATCCGGGACAAAAGCCCAGTAAGGAGAGGGCTGGGCAGAGTCAAGGGTTAAAAGTGATAGCATGGCAAGGAAAAGGGCAACAGCCGTGACTGGCCGGCCCGACTCACGCACGGTGGCCTCAGCTCGAGCGGTCAGGGCTTTGATGTCTCCGCATATTATTTTCCTCTGATCCGAGGCGGGGCGTCTCCTCGTCCTCCCGGAGCGGATCTGGAGCCGCCTCATTCTGCAAACCATTACGGACAATGCGGACGCATCGAAGCGGGAGCCAGCGTGGCGTCTCCTTGTCCTGGGGAAAGATACAAGCGTATCCTCGGCCCTGGCGTAGGACCGGGTCAGGTCCCCTCCATTCCATGGTGGCGGGGTCACGCCACTTCGCATAGAGGAGGGGAGCCCGCTCAGGCTGCCAAAAACGTTCGGCGGCAGTGCGGCCAACCGAGTCAACATTCAAAAAATTTAAAACAAAGAGTACTAATGAAAGGTGTAAGTGAGGTGAATATTTTATTTTCCCCTGTATATTTCCCCCTCTTTTAGTTTTTTGAGGTACATTTTGAGGGTGGAATGGGCTCTTTTGACAATGGCCTGACCTTGAGAATTATAAGGAATACCTGTTGTATGAGTGATGTGAAAATTTGCACAAAATCCTGGATATACTATTAAGCCCTTCAGGGTCCAACTAGATCTACTTAATAATAAGCCCCATGTGTTTGGGGGGAGAGGTCCCCATATTCCTGTACTTATTGGTTGAGGGGGCATGACAGCTTCTAAATAAACAGAACTATTTGGGGCCAGATCTAATCCTGCACTGGCTGGGGTGCCTCGGTGAAGGGATTCAATCCCAGGGAGGTCTGCCTGTTGGCTCTGACCTCAGAGATGGGGGGGAGAGCATTGCCGCTATTGTTTGGTGGGGCTGCAGGAAGCCCCGTTGGGAGTTTCCCTGCTTCAGGGGGTGGCCAAAGCGGTCAGTTTTTGATCGACACTCATTGGCCCAGTGCCGTCCCCGCATACACCTGGGACACACAGAAGGTGGCTGTGGCTTATTAGGGGGGTTCCCCGAGGGAAAGTTGAAAGATGGGGCTTGTCTTGAGCCCTTAGGGCATTTATTACGAAAGTGTCCAAGTTCCCCGCATAGAAACCAGGGCATGCGAGCTTTAGAATTCATTGGGGACTTTCCCTTTTGTTTTTTAAGAAGTTGTGAATGTAGCTGCTGTGGAGGAATTCCTCGAAGGGCCGCTGCTAAAGTCACCCCTTGTACATAACTGGGACCAATGTCTGCACACAGCCGCAAAAAATCCTCAAGGGTGCCCGTGGACTTCCAAGGCCTTATGGCCGCCTGACATGCTGAATTGGCATTCTCAAAGGCTAGCTATAATAGTTCTTGCCTCCCCATCTACAACAATTCTACTTACAGCTTGTAATAGCCGTGAAAGAAAGTCTTGATAGCGTTCATCGGGCCCCTGTCTTATTTTAGATAATTCCTCTGTCCTTGTGCCAGTGGTCGGTAACTTTTTCCATGCAGTCAAAACAGCCTCATTGATTTGAACATAGGCAATCTCAGGGAAATGTATTTGGTTACCCACTTCATAATAAGCTCCAGTACCAGCCAACATCTCATATGTGACAGGGATTTGGGTCCTTCTGTTATAGATAGCCAAATTGTTACACTTTTCTTCGAATTCGGCCTTCCACAACAAATAATCTCCCCCATTAAGGCAAGCCCGGGCAACAACCTTCCAATCTCCCGGGCAAAGAGCTTCTCTGGTAAGGTTCTCTATCATGGATAGGGTAAAGGGAGCAGTGGCCCCGTACTGACTACAGGCAGCCTTTAAGTCTTTTAACATTTTAAAATTTAGGGCAGTATATGTCCGTTGGCCTCCCTGTAAGGTTACTGGGTAGGCATTAAACTCTCCCATGTCTTCTCCTGCCTGCTGCGCTGTTAGTAAAGTTCTCTGTAAAGGGCTAATGTTGGATACAGAGGACTTGGCAGCGCTCTGCTGATTGGTCATAATGGGAAAAGCCTGCAGCGTGCTAGTTTGAGTGCACTTAGTCACGGAATTAATCCCTTGACCAGAGGTTGTGACTGCAGGCAGGACCGATTTCAATGTGGGCATAGTCAGAATGGGGTCATCATCGAGATAAACATCATCGTTGCCAAATTCATCCCCACCACTCTGAGCCTTAGGGGTTTTCCCCGCCAAGGGCATAGGCGGTGGTGGAGGAGGGAAAGGATCCTGGGTGGGTAAGTTGACATCATCGCCCAGAATCTCAAAAGAGGATACCCCAGTAGGAGTCAGGGGTACTTTAATAGGATCTTTTTCCTCATCCTCAACCCATGATTTTAAAGATATCAGCTCAATTTTTTGTTGTGGCTCCAGGATTTCACAAATATGAGACCAAAGGCCCATTGTGTTAGGCGGTAAGGCGCTGGAGCCCCGCAATTTTATTTGATTTTTCATCTCTTGGCCCACCCGTTTCCAATCCTCTGGGTTTGCTGTCCCTTCTAGTGGGAACCAAGGGCACAAATCTATGTTCCTGAAAAATTCCTGCAGTGTGGAGGAAGACACCTTATGTCCCCTCTCTGCCAATAAAACCTGCAGGGTCCGCAGAAAATATGCATGACTAGCGGACTGACTTTGTCCCATAATTTCTTACTCCTGTCGTGCCGGTTAAAGGACCGGTTCTCTTACCTGAATGTTTGCAACGTCAGTGTCCAGGATCCTCTTTCATGTGCTCAGGTCCCTGTTTGGGCGCCACTTGCCACGGCCCGCGTACAAGGTCGAACAGGGATGAGGGCAAGAGAA